GGTGAGGATCACCTCTCTGGACCGGCTTGAGATGCATCTTTGGATGCATGACAACGTATGGCTGGCCTTGCTGGCTGCGGTCTGGCATTGGCAGCTCAAGTTCATCTTGGAGTCATTAATGACTCCAAGATCCCTTTCTGCCTCTGTGCCTTCAAGAAGGGAACTCCCCAGCCTGTATGTATGCCGTGGATTCCTTCTCCTAAGGTGCAGCACCCTGCATTTGTCTACGTTGAACCCCATCCTATTCTCATCTGCCCACTTTTGTAGTCTGTCTAAATCTAGTTGCAGCCTCTCTCTCCCTTCAAGTGTGTCCACCTCGCCCCACATCTTAGTGTCATCAGGACACTTGGACAGTGTTCTTTCCACCCCCTCGTCCAAGTCGCTGATGAAGATGTTAAACATTGCGTGCCCAAGGATCGAGCCCTGGCGTACCCCAGTGCTCACGTCTCGCCAGGTTGAGTACAACCCGTCCACCATTACTCTCTGGGTGTGCCCCATCAGCCAATTTTTTACCCATCCAACTGTGCAGGCATCAGTGCCACAGTCGCTTAATTTGTTGATGAGGATGGGGTGAGAAACAGTGTCAAAGGCCTTCTTAAAGTCTAGAAAGACTACATCCATGGCGACACCATCATCCAAGGATTTAGTTACTTGGCCATAAAAGGCAATCAGGTTGGTCAGGCAGGACCTGCCTCTGATGAACCCATGCTGATTGCCCCTGAGCATGATCTCCCCTGCAGGCCCCCCACAGATATGCTCCTTGATGATCCTCTCCAAGAGCTTCCCAAGCACCGAGGTGAGGCTTACAGGCTTATAGTTACTTGGGCCCTCCTTCCTCCCTTTCTTGAAAATTGGAATCAAATTAGCCAGTTTCCAGTCCCCCGGCACCTGGCCAGATGATCACGAATGCTCATACAGCCGGGCCAAGGGCTCCGTGATGACCCCTGCCAGCTCCCTCAACACCCTTGGCTGGAGGGCATCTGGAACTGCAGATTTAAAAATGTCTAGCCTTTCCAGAAAATCCCTAACTACATCTGCACTGACTGAAGGCCTGACAGAGCTATCTCCGAGATTGTCCCTACCTCTGGTAGGTGGGATGTCCTGGTCCCTGTTCAAGAAAACAGAGGCAAAGAAACTGTTAAAAATATCAGCTTTCTTGTCTGGCGTAGCCACAAGATTACCGTTTGCATCTTGCTGGGGCCCTACATTGCCTGGTGCCCTCTTCTTGCTCCCAGTGTACTTGAAAAAGGACTTTTTGTTGTCCTTAATCCTGGACGCTAGCCTGAGTTCCAGCTCTACCTTGGCCTTCCTAATAGACCTCCTACACTCACGGGCCGAGAAGGAGTACTCCTCCTTGGTGATAGCTCCTCTTTCCACTGGTATTGCAGCCACTTGTATACAGTTATGGGGGAGACAGGAGAAACTAGTGCTTTTAGTAAATATGATAGTCATTCAGAATGTTTGCAAAAGCATTTTGGGCCTTTGTGGAAGATCCAGACAGACATTTTTAATATGAGCTACCTGTCTAGAGGAGTATTTTCCCAACTGAATTCAAAGCCTCGTCTCATGCACAGTCTAAAGTAAAGCTGCTTTTTAATTGGTATTACACTAGAGAAAGCTGTAAATTGCTTGTGTTACACATCTATTAGTTAGGAATAATTCTTCAGTTAAAAGAAGGTTTCTAGTTCCCTGGAGTTCATAAAAAAGACACAATTGGCCGTGTGGTACAGGCTGTCTCAGACGGCTGGAGCCGACTTGAGGTGATCTACAAATTGCTCGGTCTTTGGGCGGGCTGGTGAATGGAGAGGCAGACAAAACATATTGGTTGCAAAAAGGCTTTACTTACGCCGCTAGTAGCCGCGACGCAGGTGGTCCGATCGCTTAAATAATTACACGAGTTGCTCCAGTTGGCAAAAACCCGGGCCAGCGAATCCGTACAAGAACCAGGCCAGCAGGAAAAGGGGTTACGTCGAGGGATAGCGTTCGGCGACGGGGAGAAAAATCGATAGTTGATCAGGCTATCAATTTGCTGTGCCATGAGTCAGGAATTCTTTTAAGTCACTCTGCAGCGTGCTCAAAGTTCTCCGACTTGGGCGGAAGTTGCACAGAATTTTATACGGCTAACAAGCCAATCGCTAGCCGCCACGTAGGAATAATTTAGAATCGGCCAATGATGGGACACAAATTTGCATACGAATGGCGGGAACTCTCTTGCACCGGAGTTTTCTGTTGCAACAAAACTTTTGCTGTGCACAGAGACTCTCATATGGCAGGGAAAATTCCATCCTGCCGAGGCACTCAAAATCATTGGGTTATGACACAGGCATATTGTTAAGTGTGTTTGAGAGCTGGTCAGCTAGGCGTAATCCTCTTCCAGATGGACAAAGATCTGTCTGCTAGCAGAAGGGAATCTCAGAGCCAAGAAGATGAAGGGTAAACTAATTGTACTACTGGGCAAGACTGGCTACATGTGTATGCACACACCCTTTGTCTTTCTACCTAATCACAGGGTTTTCTTTAGTTCCTATTCCTGAGAAAAGGAGGGAGGAGCCTTTTAGGTCGCTATGTGTTAATCCAGAGTTAGTGACAGATCTAGCAGGACCTTGAGGATTTGTACTGCTGCCCGGCATGGAAAGCAGATGGTTGCCTGGAATTTTGACTGTTTTTTTTTCAGAATTTTCTCCCTTGCTACCACCATCATAGCTGTTGCCTAGGTTTGGTTTGTCAGTTGTTCTCGTGGTGGTACTGCTAACCTGTTCAAGGTGTTGCGTAACAGCCCTGTAAGGGCAAGTGTTGCAGCGCTAAAAAACTAAATGTCCAGCTGACAGTGTATGTATGTCCAGGCTGTCTCTCCACTTCTCCAAAGGGTTCTATGTTAATATTGAAGGATTTTCCAAGGGAATGGGTCCTCACTGAGGACCATGACTTCAGTTAATGAGCTTTTTGCTTCCACTATTCTGGTAGCTCTATTCACAATTGGATCTATGGTCAGATTGAAAAGCCCTTCAGACAACAGGTTTGACCTAAGATTACCTACTCCTGTTGAGGGATTGGAAATGCTAAGAAGACTTTTAGCTCCACACATGTAAATTTGGAATGATGTATGGAGTGTTATGATAGAGAATTTGAGACAGTATCCCAGCAAGACTGGAAAATACCACCCTGGGTCAGATGGCCACATTGGCCTTCACCTAGGCATCGCTAACTGGGCAGTAACCTAATTCTACTGCACAGTAGCATGCAGAGTAAAAGCTGTGCTAATACCCTACTGCAGAGCAGTATTAGGCTACTGTGCAGTTAGCATCACTAAAAAGCCGTGCATTACTTCACATTGATTTAGTACTTGGTTATACAAGTACTAAACTTAATGCGCAGTTACTACAGCACATTAATGAATGTGTAGACCCGCCTACTGTGACTTCAGTAAGGCTAGAGTTAGGCAGCCATGTAGGGAACATTTTCCTTAAAGAGGAAAGTCACACTCCATAGGAGCCTCTCTTGCTGGCACTGGGACAGCTGTCTGAATCACTGGTTCTATGTATACTGTCTGAGGAATATCTTTATGGGCCTGTTTTGCTTCAAGTGACACCCATGAATTTGGGTGTTTGTTTAGACCTTTCCAGACAATAATGTGAGTGTTTCTTTGGCTGCGGCCTTTTTGTTGAAGAAACTGCAGTTCCTTGAATTAGCTGAAAGAACGGTTTCTGCTCTTAACAGTCAGATGGTAACTGCTGATGTACATCACGTGTAGAATTCAGTGTGCTGGGCTCCCTCCCGATCAAGGCAATTGCTCTTCTGCTTCTAAAGCATTTGTTGCAACCATCAGGAAAAAAATCACATTGACCCCAGCCCCTGGGCAAGCTGACAAACTGTATCAGCTTCTTCTTGAGGGGATCTTCCTGTTTACCTACTCACCTTGCTCCTAATTCATTGGCTGTTGTGATAGGAAGGTCAAATCCACACAACCCCTTTGAATAGAGAAGCAAAATGTTAAATGCCATGTGGATAGAAAAGTTTTCTCTTCTTCCATGTCAGGCAATAGTGTCCAGCTACAAAGCAGTGATATCTAGGTGCAGAGTGCCTAGGGTTGGTCTGTTTTCGAGGCCTCACTGGAAAACTAGAGAAATTTGTACAGAATTTCAACCTAATACTGTACTTTGGTAATTAAAGGACACTTTAAGGAGAATGTTACCTTATGTCACTTTTCTATTAGATAGTCTTCATTGGGCCCATGGCATCTACTGGAAGAGAAAGCTACTGGCTCTTACAGGTGAGCTATCTTAACAGCTTCCCACAAAGATAAAGTGGTTCTTTTCCCATACCAAAAATCCCACCCATGGTGATGATAGAATTCCGTGTTAACTAGTCTGTTAGCATGCCAGTATTTTCTTCCTAGACCTCAGACCCAGCCAAGGGAGTTGAAATTATGGTTCTTAAATGCCAAGAGAGCATTAGCTTTCTATTTGAATAGATCTAAGCAATTCAGGAAATACATAAAGCTGTTAGTCTCTTATGAGGGAAAGAATAAAAAGCGGGTGATTACATCACATGCTTCTGTAAGTGGGTTAGGTTTTGTATGGAGAAATGTTACAAACAAGCCTCTTTTCCCCTCCCCAGAGGGCTTAGATCATGCTTCAGGAGTGCAAAGCCAGATTCAAGGGGCCTGCTTTAGATCCATGTTAAATTCCTAGATTATAACACTGGAAGAGACCATAGTGATCATTTGGTTTGACATCCTGCATAACACCGGGCATGAGACTGTCCTGTTTAAACTAGAGCAGACATCCTAGAGAAATAACGAGTCTTGATTTAAAGTTTGCAGTGACTTAGACTCTACCCTGCAGCCCTTGTTAAGCAACTTCAATGATTACTTTTCAGTGTTAAAGAGCTGTGCCTTATTTCTAATCTGAATTGATCTGTCTTCAACTTCTAACCATTGGATCTTGTTACATCTTTGTTTGCCAGATTGAAAAGCCTTTTTATGATCCATTTTCTGTTTCCTGTGTAGATATTTGTCAACTATGATCAAGTCATGCCTTAACTTTCTTTTTGATAAACTAAACGGATTGAGCTCCCGGAGTCTGTCATTATAAGGCCTGTTTTCCTGTCCTCTCATTCTCATGGCTCTTCACTGAATCCTTTCCTATGTATTTACATCCTTCTTAAATTGTAGACTCCAGAACTGAAGTCCGTATTGCAGTAGCAGTTGCACCAGTGTCAAATTATTCTTAGGATTCCCTGTTTATGCAGCCATGGATCACATTAGCCTTTTTGGTTCCAGCATTGCACTGGGAACTTTTATCCCCAAGGTCCCTAGGCTCTGTTTAGGGACACTGCTTCCCAGGATACTATCCCCAGGCCATGTAAGTTTGGCCTGCTTGCTTTGTTTCTCAATGTGACTTTAACATATTAAAATACTTATTAGCTGCTTGTGTCCGTCATACCAAGGTATCCAGGTTATTCTATACCTGTGACTTTGCAACTTGTTCTGTCCATTCTTTACCACTCCGCCCAAAGTTTAGGTCATCTTTAAACTATTAGTGACAGCTTTATCGTCTCCCAGACCACTGGCAAAAGTGTTTAAATAGTGAGGAGACACGAACCAACTTCTTGGTATACTTGCACCATAGCAGCAGCATGTCCTGGCACAGATGCCTCTGAGTATCCTTACCTAGCCACTCATACACACTCTAAGCCCAGGCTGCTCCAGATGTCCTTCTACAGTTGCTTTCAAGACCTTGGTCCCCAACAGTTACAAGCAGCCTCTGGGGATGATCTCGGAGCAGCCTCACGAACCTATTTCCAGTGTAGCATACACGAGTGGGAGTGGGAGTGGGTGGGCAGAGAGTGCTTGGGGTCATCCATGCGGGTAAATGCTGTTAGCATGGTGTGGCTATATTGTTAACAATCTGCAGGGCTGCCAGTTGGACTTCAGTTCACACATCTATGAAAGTCTGTTCCCCAGTTCTGGGATCCAGATAGTTTGCTCAGTTTGGTGAGGCAGTATGACAGGTGCCATTTAACTAGAATTCAGCTATCTCAGGGGGGCTGAGGTGGCATGGGTGCCGAGTACATGGTTGACAGTCTAGACGTCACAAGTTTGAGGCCATACAGAAACTCTTGTGGCACAGCCTGTCAGATTCTAATGAATCAGTCACAAGGACAAGAAAAAGGAAGGAAAGGAACTGTCTCAGGAGCAGAAACATGCAGAGGCTACTTGAAGAAGAAATGCAGATAAGTTGTGTGCCACCAGAGTCCTTTGTGATAGACTCAACAGCTCCATGCTCCATACCCACCTTCTCCTTCTTCCTTGGAGATCTGTGTTCCATGTTGGGCTTAGAAAAACAGCCCAAGTAAAGCACCTGCTTTTGTAGCCCTGCCTTCAGAACATTCGGGAACAGAGAGGGACGGGGGGCTCCAAGGAATGCTGCTACCAGAAGGTTGCACCAGACTAAAGTGTGCTGCTGCAGGTATTCCCTGGGCCTGTGAATGTGCAGAGTCCATCGCCAGGACTAGCGTGGCTAGATAACCTTCTCGCATTGGAAGTTCATATTGCTGGAGAATCAGTTACTTTCTTCCAGGTGCCAGAGCGCCTTGAAAAGCTGCATGTACGGGATCTAATATCAGGTGTGTTTTATGACTAGAAGAGAGACTTCAGCACTGGAAGCCTCATAGCCAGCAGAAAAGGAAATGGAATTTCCAGCTGCAAAGCAGTGGGAGCAGAAGGCTCAGAGATGAATCCTTGACATTTGTGTCCTAGTTTGCATCATCTCCAAGGAGCCAGCACTAGATTTGTTAAGGCCAGCCCTTGCCCTGACTGTCAGCTGGAACAAGTACATTTCAATCCCCAGACAGCTGTCCTCTGGTGCTTGCTCACAGAAGGGGCAAACTCATTGCCTTGATGAGGTTGCACTTTGTGTCAGAGCCGCAGTGAAGAGATTGAGGTGAATGACAAAGTGCAGCAATGCATATAAATTCCTGCGGTGCCTCAGCATTTGGAACAGATCCATTCAGGGCTTCTCCTGGTTTAGCAGTGGGAGTCTGATTAATAGCCTGGCTAAACTGTGGACCCAGCCTGTTCCCTTGAGTTCTGTAGACCAAAATTTACATGCTCCCCCACAGGTGCTAACCCAAAGCTAGCCAAAAACAGTGCTCTCACAAATTTTCCTTCTTCTTTGCAGCTCTTTTAAAATTAATACAACCTGGGTTTTTGTCCAGTGCACTCTTGTCTTTAGAACTGTGATACTAAAAGCTGGTTCAGAATGGCTGCAAGCTGGGTTGGTAACTTGCCAGGAACCCAAGAGCCTTTTGAGTGGCTTGAAACAGAGCACTTTGCCCCTTTATTCACCTTACTTATTGAAATGCAACCTGGAAAGACTACAGGTCCCATCACGCAGCACTCCACCACAACCCAGACTCAAGATGGAGCATTTTCTGCTAAGAGGCTGTAGTCTCCATGGGTCCAAGATTAAAATTAAAGATGAGGAGAAGACCACATGCTAGAACTCTATGGCCTGTGACCCGTGAGCCAGACTTCAGCCACCCCTGGCTTAAGTACCTTTGATTAGAAGAGTGGCATAATAAAGCTTAAGGAGCAAATTGTTTCCAGCACGCCATGGATTGATAACATTTACACACTCTCCTTACCGCAGGTCTACTCGAGTCATGCATCTTAGGCCTCCTTTCTTTTAATTAAGTTAAAATGTCAAGGCAATTGAAACCAGTGGCTCAGCAGGCCACTCTGTAATGGAGGCACGTGCTTTCCAGTTCCATCAGCCAAACCAAAGTGTTTAGAGGCTGTCTGGTGGAAACAAATCAAATGAATGCACCAGTGCTTATATGTGCCCAAAGAACTTAATTGAGTCCTTGGAAAATAGAAAACAAAATAGATTCTCCACGATGCCAAAAACACATCAGCATGCAGAACAAAGGCCTGGACTGGGAAGCCCTCAAACACTGGGGAATGTGAGGCCACGCACAGATCAAAGCTTCCTGTTCTGCAGCCCTGTTTGTTTTCTTTTCACTCTTTTTCTTCCAGCTTTGATTTAATTACTTAATGAATATAAATCAATTGGCAAACAAGGCAGCAAGATAAAGGGAGCTCTGCAGAGCCAAGATGCCTATCTCCCTGCAAAAGGGCCAGGGACCCAAGTACTCACTCAAGGGTTATGAGGCACTTGCAGTTCTTTGGGGCCTCCAGTGGGCATGCACAGATCTGATTAGCACCCAGCCAGACTTGCCCAGGAAACAAGAGCACCTGTGGAGGGTGCCCATCAAGCTGCTGTAACTTGCACCCATTCCATTTCAGGTTCTGTCACCATCTAGTGGTGGCTGAGCCAGTGTCAGCCATGAGTACCAGAGCTGAATCTCTTGGCTCAGGTGACAAAGGTTCCTGGTTCAGAAATTTGCAGATAGTACCAGGTCCTGCTGGAAATTTTTGGGGTCCATTTTAGAAGTACTCTCCCCAACTCCATCCCAGCAGCTGAAAGCAGTCAGCACTTAGATGTGGGAAGAGGCAAAGCAAGGAGGCCTGTCCCTCTCTTCAAGGACCTAGGGAATCTGATCAGATAAAATGACACAGTTGCACTGTGATGCACCAGTAACACCTGACAACTTTGCAAGCAGATGCAACATTCCAGCAGGAAGAGCAGACTCTGATTCTCTCAGCCAAAAACTTCACTAGCTTGGTTTGGGGCTGATGCAGTTCAGCAGTGCCCTTCTCTCTATTACAGTTCTGCAGCACAGGCAAGTCTGGTCTTAATTTTAGGTTTTGCTTCCCTAACTGCTTGGTTCTGGCAGCTGCTGGCCTTTCCAAACCAAACCTGCACTAGAAGTAATGGCCCCTAACTACTCTGCAAAGTAATAAATACAAACAGTGGTGCATCCATTCCTAGGGTGCGCAGTAAAAGCCTTTATGACCTGCCTGGGATGTAAAGCAGTAAGTCTAAAGGGAAACTGGTAGTGTTGAGATGGGGCTAGGGGGATAAGAAAGCGGGGGCAGGGGAGAGACACACAGGAAGGGGAGTGCAAGCCCAGCCCTGCGAGCTATCTTGGTCACGTTTACATTGCTATGTGTTTGAAGGTAACTGAGTCAGACCTGCTAGATGGCCTTGCCCAGGGTCCTGGGAGCCCTACCCGCTTTTTCCTGTTTCAGACCTGAAGTCTAAAAGAGAAGCCCCACTCCTCAGGTGGTGTGAATTGATGTAGCACTGGATTCTCCCTGGCATCAAACTCACAGCTCCACCAGTCCCCGGCAGGAGGTTGTATTTACAAAAGGTCCAGAATAATTATTTTTGTCTAGTTTCCGGTGTCCTGTGACTTCAGAGTGGAAGACAGCTCGGTGGTCAGACCACGCACCTGGGACTCAAAAGGGGGCTGCTATTGATGCAGTGCCTGCATATGTTTTGAAAAGATCCTTTTTTCAGTGCCTGTGCCTCAGTTCTCTTATCTGTCTAGTCGAGACAGTACTGTTCAGCCTCCTGAGGATGTTGAGAGGGTAACTATGGATGGTGCATCTACCACAAAAGCCATTGTTCAATTTGGGCTCCTTGCAGCCAGTCCCAGTGGATTACATGCTGAATAAATAATGGAATCTGAACACCTTCCCACTCACCAGGAAGTTTTCTGGATTCATGGCCCAGGCATGGTGGTTGGGAGGGGGGAAAGCTTGCACTGTATGTGTTCTTCTACCAATAAATAGTGCTGAGCCAGTTGTTTATCAGTTCCTATGTGGAAGTGTCTTCTTGGCTATCGCAACTTAATGTTTGTACCTTATCTCCCAGCCTAGAGCCTGATCTTCGCTCAGTGAAGTCTGTTAAGTGGTAAAACCTCCCTGTATCTTAGTGAGAATGGGAGCTGGCCCCTAATCCTCAGTAGAAATACCTTGACCGACAATGGTCAGAGTGCAGAGGAGAGAAGATACGAGCAAGTATCTCCTTCCTTCAATGTTCTTACATGGCACTCACTACCATGCGGTGTCTTTACACATTCTCCAGGGGGAGAGACAGGAGGTGCTTTGATTAGAGTGGCCAGTGATAGCCAGCACCCTACCCTGCAGCTCCTGAGTTTCTTTTCAAGGTCTGATATTCAAGCACCTGAGCCTGCCAGGAGTTAGGTGGCTTAAACTTCCAGCATGTAATTGATATGTCTACTTACACTCCCTGGTCTCCGAGTCTTTTTTTTTTTACCTTAATTTAAAGTTAATAAAATTCTTGGTGAAGATTGATCAGGGGACACAGTGTGGAGCTCCTGGGGATCCAGCCTAATACTGGTTGTTATGTGGCTGGATCTTAAATTCCATACTCAAGCACAATATATATCAACCTCCGTGAGAAATTCTCAGTAAGGACAGGATGAGTCTCCTCAGCTCTCTGCAGCACCTCTCACCCCAACAGGTTTCCTCCAAAAGTGAAGAAAGGGTTCCCTTTCAACCTAGACTGATCACATCCAAACTAGTGATTAGTCTCCAGTATAAACTCTTCAGGGAAGTGATATTTTCCCTTAGCAACCCCTCAAACCTGTGCTTGAATGAGGGACATGGAGCACTGCAAAAAAACCCCTCAATAAGAACAAGATGTTGTCTGGCTGGCTTGCCAGGAATATGAGCCAATTTTAGGGCTGGTGTTTCTATATCATTTACCGATTTCTCAACTTCACCACTGGGCGGGGGAGGGGAGATCTCCTAACCAGAGCTCGCCTGTACCAGCTCTTCAGCACTGCTGGATTTCACATAATGGCTTTTCCAACATGCTCTTGAAAAATCCTTCCTTCCTGAGTGGGGGGAGGCAGTGACAGGGAGGCACAGCTCCCACTTTGTCTCATACAGGAGAGTTGAAAATGAAGCAAAAGCCTCTCCATTCAGGATAAGAAAAATCCTCTGTTGGCCTCCCAGTGAGGTGAAAGCCCCTCTGCATACAAGACTTGTTTTCTGTCTCCCTTTGTTTACAGGGAATCTGAAGCACGTGGTGTAGCTGCAAAGGCGAGCTAATGTTTCCACAACAGCAGAGCGTTTCCTGTGCCCAAGACAGCCTGTTTACGTGAGCAGTTTGTGGAATTTGTGGCTTCAGGGGAAATTTGGAAGAAATTACTTTTTGGGGGTGGGGGGGGGGTACTGGAGTTCCTGAGGGGCAGTGACTGTCCTGTGGCAGTGACCACTCATCAGCTCCAGCACTGGGCAGAGACCTCCCGCCTTCTAACCCTCTTGTTCCAATGGGTTTCTGCTGATCTTTTTACTAAACTACTTCTACCCTTTCAAACATTTGTAATGGTTTCTCTTAAGGGAGTTGGGCCTGGTGCCACCCTTAGCTACAGGTCTTCCCAGCCCAGCTCTCTTTTGCCACCACCCGCCCCCAGCCCTGCCCCGCAATGAGACCACAGACACAGATGCTGCTCACGTACCATGAAGCTTTCAGAGGGAATGAGCAGCAGGGGCACCGGGCCCAGGGGAGTGGCTGGAGCTGTCTGGACAGGGAGCTGCAGACCCTGTGTTTTTAAATGTCTGTGTGTTTTTCTAAAAATAAAATATTTGAAATATTTCTGCTTCAGCCTATGTCTTCTCAGCCCCCTGGGCCACCAGTAGTTGTCATCTAATTGTTTTCTGCTACTCCCCAAATCTCTCTAGCCATCTGGTCCACTGTTCTTTGTAAAGTGCCTGTCACAGCAAAGGTCCCAGCACATGGCCTCCGTGCTCTGGTAACAGATATAAATAACAGGCCTTAGCTAGGAGAGCTGAGGGGCTCCAAGCCCTTAGCTCTAGTAGTCCTGCTCTGCATGGGCCAGGTATCTGCCTGCTCTTCTCTCCAGAGAAGGTGGATAGCTCCATTCTCTCATGGACAGATTAGCTTTCTGGAGTCCATAGTTTTTATTCATACCTGTGAGGGGAGGTGGGGTAGAAGAAGGGGCTGAAAACCAGTTAATCCCCTGACTCCTGGAGTTTGGTCTCAGTTCAGTGCTATGGACAGGTTAGGGGATTACAGCCATAGCATGTACATTAAGATAGGAGAACAGACAAGCACAGACTGAGCAGCCTCCTCACAGCCTGAGGCACAGGCCCCCTTCCTTGTGATTGCAATGTGGGTTCTTCACTATAGCGCAGCAGTTCTCAACCTTTTTAGATTCAAGACTCCCCTCAATAGACTCGTAGCACCACCTCAGAAAATGCCAGTTTTTAGCTTTTGTTCATTTTTTGACTACAGAAAAATAATAGAGCAGTTCTTCTGTTGCAAAGAACTAAAAAAAACTACCGCAGGGCAGGATGATATATCGTTGTGGATTCCTGTTTGAAATCTCTGGGTTTGTCTTCTGAATTGTGTTTTCATCCCTAATGGTGCTAACATTGCATGGCACCCTACAACACCCTTGAAAGAATTTCAAGGCACCCCAGAGTGCTGCAATACCCTGGTTGAGAGTCACCGCTGTAGAGCGTCCTCAGCCTCTGCACAGCTCAGGCCCTGCCTGCGGCAGATACAAGCCCAGATCCCTGCAATTAATGTGTGATGGTCTCAGTGCATGTCTCTGGCTTCTGACAGGGTGCCAGCAAGGTCCTCCTTGGTCTCTACTCACAGCTTGACTTTTACCCACCATAGTGTCACCAGTGACTTCATTGCCCACTTGCACTCATACTATGTCCAAGGAATCATAAATGCTGAGCCACAAGCAAGCCCCAGGAGGTGGTTTTCTTTTGTTGCTGATAGCTGAGAAACAGCCTCTGATATGATGCGCAGTTACTGTATCGGCACAAGCAGCCAGAGCAGTTGAGCCAGCTGCTAAACATTCCTGCAGGCAGCCTCTCTACAAACGGGGCTTTGTTTCTCCACACAACTCTGCCAACCTCTTCATGGCTCAGATGTTCCTACACAGGATCATCATACCGTGCCGAATGCAAAAATCAAACCAGCGTCCCAGCCCTGGACTCCCCCGGAAGTCATATCATCATAGAAAGCAGTGCTGGAAGGGACCTCAGGAGGTCACTTAGTCCAGCTGCCTGCTCAAGGCTGGATTGTCTGTCTAACCATTCCAGACAAGTGATTGTCAAAACCAGGGGTGCTCAATCCCTGGCCCCATGAGCTCGCTCTAGCCCCTGGAGCCCTGTCATCCAGCTCACAGGGCACCCACAGGTCCAGAAATGTGGTGGTAGAAAAGTGGAGGCAATTAACACTGCCATTGCTTTCCCACCACCGAGTTTCCAAACTCCATGCAGCTGGATCGGGCCTGGGCAGGGCCAGTACATCAAGATGACCCTAATTTACCATAGGTAATGCACGGGGATGATGGCACTGTCAGTGTCCAGACAGTGACTCAGGCACAGCAAAAAAATTGCTAGCAAAATGCACCATGAAATGGGTAGAAATGGCCACTCGGCCCATATGCCCCTGGTTTCAACCCTGTGTATTTGGAGTCCCTAGAGAAGAAGCCTTGGCCCTGCATGTTCCATGCTTTAGGGTCATGGGGAGGGTAGCAGCATTGTTTGGGGTTTGCAGCCTAGGAGCATGTGTATTGCTGGCGGAGCTTTTGCTTGCAAAACGTTCCCAGGAGTTGCTCCTTAGGAAGCCATGGCTGGCAGGACCATAGGGCCTGTTGGCTAAGAGAAGAAGCTGGACCCCACAATGGATGTGGGTGAAGGGATGGCACTTTGAGGAAAGTGATGAAGAACAGAAGGACAGGGAGGGTCCTCAAATCTGGCCCATCTATGAATAAGCAATCCCACTTCGCCTTTTGCCCAAAGTGTCCATGTGAAAGGCGATGACCCCCAAGTTTCTTTCGGCCATGGTGCTAGTGAGTGTAGCACTGCCAAGCCGATAAGTGCAATGTGGATCTTTATTCCTGAGGTGAAGCACCTTGCATTTCTCCATATTGAATGCCATCAGGTTTTTATGCAAGCCTATCGAGGTTGGCCTGGATCACTAGCCTATCCTCAAGTGTGGACACTCTTCCCCAAAGTTTGGTGTCGTCAGCGAATTTGGCCAGTCCGCTTCTGACGCCAGTGTCCATATAATTTATGAAGACATTAAAGAGTGCAGGCCTGAGAACAGTCTTGGGGGACACCACTGGTCACTGAGTGCCTCGTTGATTCAGTTTCATCAGCTACCACTCTCTGGGTCTGACCTTGGAGCCAGTTCCCCAGCCATTGGACTGTGGAGTAGTCGAGGCTGCAGTTGCTCAATTTTTAAGTCCAAATATATGACATCAACCTCTTCCCTTTTGTCTGGGTGATACATCACCTGGTCATAGAAGGAAATGGGATTGGTCAGGCAAGACCTACCTGCAACAAACCCGTGCTGGCTGTCCCTCAGAATGTTACCTTCTGTTAGCCTGCCAAGAATGGTTTCTTTGATAATTTTTTCCAAAATCTTCCCAGGGATTGAGGTCAAACTGATTGGCCTGCAGTTTCCTGGGTCTTCTTTCCTCCCTTTCTTGAAGATGGGCACCACATTGGCCCTCTTCCAATCTTTAGGTATTTCGCCTGAGCACCATGAGATCTCAAATATCCTCACCAGGGGCTGCACTATGATGTCTGCCAGTTCCTTTAGCACTCTTGGGTGCAACCTATCTGGACCAGCTGATTTATGGGGGTCCAGCCTCTCAAGGTATTCCCTCACAAGATCCAGGTCAATGGTGGGCATATATTCATCCTCACCTTGGTCATCCTGCATCATGTTAGGCAGGGTGGTCCCTTTGGGCTGGTGAAAAACCGATGAAAAGTAATCATTAAGCAGATTGGCTTTTTCCTGGGTGCTGGTAGTCAGCTGCCCCAGATGATTTAGCAGGGGTCCAATGTTGCTCTTGTTTTTCTTTCGACTCCCCACATGTCTGAAGAAGGACTTTTTATTGTCCTTGTTTCGTGTAGCCAGATGAAGTTCAGTTGCAGCCTTGGCTTTTCTAGTTTGCTCCCTGCAGGTGTGGACCAGTACAGTATACTCCTCCTTAGCGGTGTTACCTATCTTCCATCCTTTATACGCTTCTCTTTTTAGACGTAGGAAATCCATGAGTTCCCTGTGGAGCCAAGGGGGTTGTTGAGCCCTTTTACCACCTTCCCTATGGGTTGGGATGTACTCCCCTTGTGCTTCTTAAGGAGCAACCACTCATCCTGAACTCCCCTCCCTGTGAAATCATGGCCTTTCAGGGCCTCAAAAACAAGGTTCCTGAGCTTACAAAAGTCAGCTTTCCTAAAGTCAAGGACTACTGCATTGCTGGCTGACTTACCAGCTTTGTGATGAATGGTGAAGGTGATCAACTCGTGATCACTGTCACCCAGCTTCCCTTTGATTCCTAGGTCACTTATTAGATCATCCTCTTTGGCCAGTACCAGGTCTAGCAGTGTCTTGCCTCTTGTAGGCCCATAAACTTATTGACAGGTAGAGCTCATCCACATCCCTTCAGAATGTGCCAGAGCCCTGAACTTAGGCAGTGTAGCCAGTCTGGTCTTGAGCACATGCCCAGAGCCCAGTTCAGGCGCTCTGTCCCAGGGATGCTGCTTCGCACATGAGCAGGGCTGTACACTAGTTCCTCTGCTTCCATTCCCAGGGCTATCACTTGGGCGAAGCATGTGTCTCTGCTGTGCTTCTGGGCTGCTACAGAAGAAGCATAAAGACAACCCCAAAATGCCTCAGGTGGGCCTCCAGCACCATGGCACCTATGGTCAGAACCTACATTTGAAGCCATTGGCCTGGCTGGCTGGTGACCGTCTGTCCCATGGTTGAGGAGGGGACATAGCAGCTGCTTATTTAGGCACCAGTCAGGGACAGGAAGGCCAGTCAAGGCAGGCACCCAATGTCTCTGCATTGGTGAAGCCCTACGCAGTCAGATGGGTCACTAATTGGCTGGAGGGCCACACCCAGAGAGTGGTGGTGGACAGGTCTTATTCGACCTGGAGGGATGTGGGCAGTGAGGCTCCGCAGGACTCGGTCCTCAGGCCTGCACTGTTCAACATCTTCATCAGCAAC